ATTCATTACTTTGGAAACAGTCTCGTTCTCAATTTTTATTGCTTCAGCACCTTTTTGTGTCATTTATGTTTTAATATTTTGATTGTATTTTTTTAACTACTAAAATGTGTGGTATTAATAAAAAATATTTTGGAGAAGCATGTAGTTATTATACAAATACATTTCATGGATTTTTTATCAAAGTGTGGAGAAGTGTTATAATTTATTGTTTCATGATCAATACTTCTGATATTATTCAATCGACAATCTGGATAAAACAAAGTGTGTTAAACCAACCTCAAAAATTCTATTTATAATATAATTATTTTTAAATATTTTTATGCCAAAAGATCGGGTGTTTTCCAATTGAATTACACATTCATTTTTTTCAATCAATTTATGGTGGTTTGTAATTCGTTTCTATTATTAAAAAATTATAAAATAATAGCTTTTTATTATAAATTGGTTCTATTAATATTAATAAATGTATTTAATTATTTTATTAATAACAATATATTTGAAAATATTAACAAATGACCACTTATTTGCTATTTTTAGATTGTCCATTGTTTTAACCAAGTTCTAGAAAAACATATAACAATACAAAGATAAAATATTTTTATTGTCTTGTTGTTAATTTGTGTTATTTATTTAATGTTTTATATCATTAAATACACATTTTTATTATATAATCAAGAAGCTTATCATTGATTATTTAATAATAATAACAGAATGAATATTAATCATAAATGTCATTAGTAAATATACTGTTTGCAAAATATTATAAAAATATTTATTTAAAATGTAGTAATGCTATAATTTTTAATTAAATCATAAAAAATATCGGAATATCATAAATAAACACATGCAATATAATGTTCTCGTTTTTTGATATATAAACTGTTTTTAAAAAGTCGGTACTGTCATATTTTTAGAACTTCCTAAAGTCCTGTTTTTTATTTTCGTTTTTTCCTAAAAAAACAAAAAACAAAAAATCGAAAGTACAGACTTTATTTTGAAAAAAATACCAATACAGTTCAATTATTTTCGTACAAATTCGGGAAAATATCGGAATATTAGCCATCTTTTTCCAAAAAATTCGATCCCGTTATTTGATTTGACCATAACTCAATACTTCACAACATATACACAGCATTGTTGGCCTAAAAGCACAACAATGAACGTTTAAGTGAATTTGGATGTTGTTGTTTGTGTCGAGTTTTAAATGAATATTACTCTCGTTAATTTTTCATTTTCAATTAAAAACAAATTGTGGTTTTCTTCTCTGAATAAAAAAATAATGAAATAAAGAGTTCCAAAAACACCAAAATAATTACAGCAAATGTTTGATAATTTTGACAGACACAAGTCAAAATTGTCAAAGAACAACACAAGAAAAGACGATAATGCAAAATAACAATATTGTTTTGTTATTGGATATTTTAAAAATGATGTTCTCATTGAAATGCTCAAAGATAATGTCTACTTTATAAAACCCAACAAAGATAAGTTATCAAATCATTTTGATATTTTTATTGTTATAGTGACAACACTATTAAGCATACTAATTTTTGAACTTAGCTTTTGTTTTGTGAATATTTCATTAATTATTAATAATGTTTGATAATGAAAAAGATTGACATTAAGTTTATTTGCTTTTGTACTAAAATGCACTTTTGGGATAAATCACGTGTATTTCTGAAACAAAAATCCCGTTACTTCAATTTTTATATGGTTTTTTTTAATGCTTATAAATTCTTCAAGTATAAAAGTATTTTTTGAAGACTGTTTTTCTCTTTTTTACTTGGAAAAAATAATCAATATTTATTACAAAAAACGATTCCCAAAAATAATAAATAAAATAAATGCAAAAAATCGGGACATCTCACTACCGACTTTCGAAAAACAGTTTACATGTAAATATTAACCTTGAAACGCTGTTTCAACCCGATAATTCACTATCCACTCCCATTAGGACCAACTACAAAAACACTATTTATTATAATTATAATTTAAATACAAAATTAAGTTATATAGTTCTTAATATACAAGTTTTTTATTACTAAGGTTAAAATAAATAAAACGATTAATTTCTAAGACGGGTATTCTTATCTTTATACAGTCAAAGGCGTCTATTTGTCATGAATCTAGTAGAAAAACGTATCTATTTGTCGTAAATGAGTGATTTTTGTAGAAAAATCTTTTTAATATTGAATTTATTTTTGTTATAATTTAGTTTTTAATTCAACAAAAGTTACAGATACAAGAACAAAAAATTTAATTGTCGTACACCAAATGATTGGCATTTTTACGACAATTAAGCAAGTTTGACAATTATAATTGCGACAAATAGACACTTTTGACTGAAATTTCTAAGAAGGGTATTCTTTCCTTTTAGTTGTTTTTTCTTAACAAATCTGTCACAAACAATTTATAAAAAATCAAATTTAGCAACATTGTTAAATATTCAAAAATCGTTTATATGATGACAAATCAATAACAATAATTAACAACAATATATATAACATGCTTTTCGATTAAAACAACAATTCAATTCAATTCACTCGTCAATCGCTTTAATTGACATTTGTACGACTTCCTTAACTCTTCTCTCGTATTCACTTCTGTTGTTTTTGTATAATTCTGCCGCTTCTGTATTCGCCGGGGAGTCGGGGTTTGGTTGATTGAGAAGTGTTTGTATCGCTAGAAGAATGAAGGACACGTCAAAAACAGCAGACCAATTCGACTTCAAGACATCCAAGCAAATACTTCCATTGGTGTATATATTCGGGTGGAACATCGGACTCACAAAAACAATTTTTGGTGGTTTGACTGGGTATTCCTCTGTAAATTCCATTCGTAATTGGAAGATCCCATTTTCCCAAATCGTGTCTTCTGGTCCAAAGATTACACAAACCCATTTTTTAATGTCATCTTCGTCAGGACAAGCGTCGATTCCATCAAGTGGGGTTTGACGTATTTTTTTGAAATCCAAAACAAGCCGGTTGTAAAAGTTGTTCATATATATTTAGATATCTAGTTTGTATAGTTTCTAATAGTTTCTTTTAGGAATAAAATGAAGAAAATGTATTGTTATTTATACTATAATAATTATTATTGTTTTCATAAATATAATTATTCATATTATTTTAATATTATAGATGTGGTACTAAGGTTTCGACCAGGACCATGGTTTCGACTAATAAGTAGTAATTTCTTTACCATTGTAATAATTCAATATTAAAAGTTATATTTGAACCATGTTTTAAAAATAAATTAGGAAACTTGTTCATTACTATTCAAATAGTATTTAAATGGTAAGTCGAAACCTTGGTACTCTTCGAAACTTTAGTTCCACATCTGTATGTATAAAACGACTTAAATTAAAAGCACATCAGTAATTGATAACATAAATTGATTCTTGATAATTACCAATGACTTACTTTGCTGTTTTAATTGTTGTTTTATTTTTATTTACAAATTTAATGAACATAACAAAAAGTATTCAAACTGTGCCAGATAAATTTATAACATAATTGATATTTATACAACTTTAATAACTACTTATAATAATAATTTTATTTCAATATAATTAAACCCTTTTTTCAAAATTAAAAATAGACAATGTCGGGTAAACCATATCAAACACAAAAAGACGATGTAGTAGTCGCTGTTTTTAACGTAAACCCTTCAATTACTCACAGAGAATTGAGTGATCTTCTTTCTGAATATCACCCAGATATTATTTTAGACCCTCGATACAATATCAAAACAGGTCTTGTCTCCTGCCAAATTATTTTTAAAACAGCAACGTCTCGAGACGTCTTTGTGCAAAAAACAGACAACACGACAATTTATAAGAAACGACTTCAAGTATCCAAAGGCGAAACCCACACTCATTACAATGTCGCAAAACTGAATTACCAGGGCATTGCAATGAGTGACGAACAAACAATTCGAGCCTTATGTAAGCCGTACAACCCCGATGACATCAAAATGGAAACACATAAGGATGGCGATTTAAAAGAAAATAAATTCACTCTCATTTTTAAAAACAAAGACAATGCAACTGATTTCATCAAAAACGCAACGGAATCCCAGTTTGGTGAAACCGCAAAAATCGTCCAAATTTCCCCACGCGAAATTAAAACAAAAAATAACACAAATAAATGTTTTATATGCCAAAAGGAGGGACACACCAACAAAATGTGTCCAACGAAAATAATGGAGAAAATCACAAAGAAAAAAGAAGAAGAAACAAAAAAAGAAAAAGAAAAAGAAAAGGAAGAAAAACTCAGAAAACAAATCGAAAAACAATCCGCCGAAAAAAGAGAAAATGGGCGAAAAAAAATGTTCAGAAAGTACAAAACCGATTATGACGATCAAGAGAAAATCAAAGAAAAAATTCGAAAAATGGATTTCTAATTAATTTATAATTAATTTAACTATTTTTTATTTTAATTTATTTTAATTAATTTAATTACTCTTTTAAATTAAATAATTTTTATAATAATTATAATTAATTTAACTATTATTAATAATTATAAATTTAATTTATTTTTAATTTTAAAAACTATTATTATATTATTTATTATATTATTTTTATATTAATTATTATAATTATTTTAGTAGTTTTAAAAATTAATTAACTATTATTAAATTAAATCAAATTATAGTTTGTGCTTTTCAAAAAATGATTTTTATTTAATTTGATAAAACTATATTTAATAATATAAAAAATTAAATTGTTTTATAATTAAATAACCTATTAATAATATTATAAGTTAAATTAATTTATATATAATTTAATTTTAATAAAATTAATTATTTTTCAAAAATACCAAAACATACTAATTTTTACTAATTTTTACCAATTTTTAATAAATTTTAATAAATTTTAATAAATTTTACAATTCATCAGCATAATTTTCCAAATAATATAATTAACTAAAACAAAATTCAAATCAAATCAATATTTTCTTTTTTTTGCCAATTTTTTACTTTTCTTAGCTGCTTGAATTCTCATTTCTTCCAATTTTGATCTTCTGCCTCTTTTTGGGTTTGGCTTCTGATGCTTTTCTTTTGTCTCGTCTTGATGTTCCTCTTCCATACTCTGACTCTTATTATCTTCATTACTCTTCATCTCTTCCTCCTCATTTTCCTCATTTTCCTCATTTTCCTCATTTTCCTCATTTTCCTCATGTTCTTCATCGTTCTGTTGTTCTTCTTCTTTTTCTTCTTCTTCTTTCTGTATACTCTCCGACTCATTATCTTCGTCATTGCTCTCTTCATTATTATCTTCTATATCTTTAAAGACGTCATCTTCTACACTGGCGTCTTTGTTAACTTGAGGTTCACTGTTTTCATCTTCTTTGTCACTTTCACTCATCTGATTTGATTTTTCCATCTTCTTTTCCTCTTCGTGTTCTTCTTCTTCTTTTTTCTTGCCGTCTTTGTTTGGACAACGATGGTTGCTGTGCCCGATCTCCCCACAAATGAAACATTTCATCTTCTTGACTCGCTCCGATGCAGCTTTCTTTTTCTCTTCTTTTACCCGGTCGATCTCCTCTTTCTTCGGACAGATGCGAGCTATATGTCCATACTCTTGACACAACTTGCACTGCGTCCGTTTATGCTTCTCCTCTGTAATACAAGCCTTGACAGTCTCTTTACTCTCCAGAGCGGGAGCTATTGAAAGTTCAGTTGCTCCAAATTTGAATTTATTCAGCCCATCTTTTAAAGTCTTGTACTTGTCGTAGTTCTTCACAGTGACGTAAATGGTGTTCCCTTGTAAAGTCCCCTTCTTCTCCACGTCACGGTAAAAAGACATAAACGTGAAATCCTTGAAAAAGTCCTTCACTGCGTCTTCAGGGGTGTCTAAACTGAGTCCTTTGACTAGTAAAGTGCACTGCTTCTCATCTGTTTTTTTAAATACGATCTTCAATTTATCATTATTGATCTTTTGACGGTTCTTCTGGGCTATGATGGCTTTCGCTTCAGACGTACTCGATGTCTCAATTATATAATGCGTCGATGGGGTGTCTTTGTCAAATCGGGGAATCTCAATGGAAACGGGATTGTATTTCGCCAAAAGAGAGTTCACGGCTTTGTCTGTAACGTCTCGAGGAAATCCAATGAGCATAACTTTGATGTTCTGGTCGCTGGTGGTCATTAACTGGGGTTTTAATTTTTGATTAGTTTTTTTTAATATATTTATAATAGTATCGGTATGGTTTGTTTTATCATTGAATTGTATTGTTGTACTAATTCAAATAATCATTTTTATTTTTTTTAAACCCTTCAAAAAAATTTATTCATAATTTGTACTGCATGAAAACTAGTATTTAAATTAACAATTATTAACAAAAACTTAGTATTTTTTGTTTAAGTTGAACTATAATAATTGTATTTAATGGAGTTATATTATAATTAATTAATAATGTTTAATAAAATTTATTTATTATTAATAAATGTACTAGTAATAACTAAAATTCA